TCCATAAACACTTCCCTGAAGGTCAGACTTGATTACTTTTTCCCATTCATTTCCTCCTCTTTTGAGGAGAGTATTCTAATCCACAGCATGTGTGTCCCACCACGGACTAAAGAATCCCCTGTTCCCCCAAACCGAGAAGGGGAGGCCAAAAGTCTTTGCCTGAAATTGCTGTGCTGCAAGTGAAGGATTCAGGGTTCAGATGGCAGAATCAAGACTCCACCCTTAGGGTAGCAACGTTAATCTGGCGGTGTCCTTAGCAAAGGAAGAGAAAGAGTTAATAGAGCCGGATCTCAGTCCCTCGTTGTAAAGAGGGAGGAGTAACACGGGAAAGTCGTCCAGAGTAAACAATTTAAGCTACACGAGGCACCTCCGTCACCAAATAGCCTATCAAGATATTTGATTACTTTTCTTTTCTCTCACTCCTGTAGCAAAACCTTCGGCTCCTTTATTATGTACCATGAAGACAGACCCAGTGCCTGCCCCCACAGGTTTCCAGTCTCCAGGGGGAAGGCTGCCACACTTCGCACAAGCAGTTAATTGCCAGGCTGGTGAGTGTGGTTGCAGCTGGGAGGGGGCCACCTAGCCCAGGGGTCTGGCCATGCCTCCCTGGGGAGGTGACGTATAAGCAGAGCCCTAAAGGGATCTTCCAGCAGACAGTGGGGCCGGCTAGGCAGTGTTCTGGGCGCTCGGTGGAGGAGGGCAGCTGGAAGGGCGCTCTGTTGGAGCCAGAGGGGCCAGAGGTGTCAGCCAGTGTGGCTGGAGGTGGCCGAGCACCGCCTGAGTGGGGCTGGAGTGTGCGCAGGATTTGGGGCCGCGCTGAGGGGTGTCTGGCTCTGTCCCACGGTTTGTTCAGGTCACACGCCTCAGCTGCCACCCTGGCTGTCCTCGGAGACGACGCCCCACCCCCTTGCGCCACCTGCCCGGGTGCCCGGTGCGGGACAGCCCTCGGCCTGGGGAGGGCGGGGCTGGGGCTGGAGCGGGGACACCCGGGGCTGCAGGTGCGCGCAGACCACTGGGGACCTTGGCTCGCGCCGGGACACGTGCCGGTCAGCGGATGCCCCCAGATATGGCCGGATTCCGTGACTCTGGTTTCGTGCCTTCGATGCTGCTGTTTATCCCCCTAGTGGTTATTTATAGACTGGAATCGTTTGCTAAGGACTGGCTCTTCTGGCTTTGCCTTTTTCTTGTTGGGGGTGCTTGATTGGGGGCCCGACGCCATCGTCCTCCCAGGGCTGAAATCTCGTAGAAAGTGGGCGCATCACCAGTCTTTCTCTCTTTAGGGCTTCACCGATTTATAAACTGGGAAGACATACTAGCCCTGTGGTTAGTGACTTTGCTTCTCCCTACTGCTGTTTTATCATAAGCTACCTGCAATGCGTTTGGGCTAAAAGTGGGGTTTGCATAAACTCATTTTAAAAATCACAAGTTGACCTGCAGAGCAAGGGACATCAGCTGGGGCGCACTGCAGCTTCACAGGACTCCCTGCCGGGGACTCAATACTGGATGCCTCTGTAGAAATATAAATCAGTGAAAATAAGGGAGTTTGTTCCGATGGCTGAGGAATGTAAAGGGATGTAAGTAATGCTCCCCTTTTCCCACCCTATTTTCCACCAAATTTCTCTTTCCAGCCCCATGCAATTTCCAATATCAAAGGTTTACAAGAGCTATGATTTTTTCTTTTTAAGCAGTGATTGGTTTTCCCTAAGCACAGACGTCTCAGTTCCTGGAAGACAATGTTCAGGCTGCAGAGGGAGAAGAGAAAATTCAGTTATGTGACTCATCAGCCCTATTTCATGAGCTTTCAGCCGCAGGAAAGGCTGCATCCCTGCTGGCACTACCAGTGTCTGTAATTTCAGGTTGAGTCTGCTTTTATGTCGTTGTTGCAGGGACAGGGTCTTGCTGAGTTGCCCAGGGTGCTCTCGAATTCCTGCCCTCAAGCAATCCTCCTGCCTCAGCCTCCCAAAGCCTTAGGATTATAGGTGTGAGCCAGCTTGCCTGGCCTGAGTCTGCTTGTGACTAGTTCTCTTCATCTACTTTGTTGGGTGGCACCTGTATTCCTATGGCACTCTGCCTCAGGGGCTCTTTTAGGCTTTTGACCTTTTAGTTCTGCCACTTTCCCACTCCTGCCACTTTTTCCCAGCTTTGCACCCTGGGGTCTTTCTTGCCCCCTTCCCAGGGTTCATTCAGGTATGTTCCATCAGCCCCCCACCTGCAGTCTGCAGGCTGCAGTTTGTGTCAGAATGCTCTGGCTTCCTTCCCACACCCTCTCAGGTCTTACTCTTAATTTTCCCAATGAATGTGATAATAAAAGCAGCAGCCCAGGACTTGAAACTGACTTCAGTTTAAATCTCTCAGTTGGGAGATAAAATGACTTCACCTGAAGGACCTGTTCAAGTGGTGGGGACTTCTGACACTGTGATTGGCCAGTTGAAAATTTTTAGGCAGACAGGCTTTTCTATGTCTGCAAAAGGCAGCTGATTTACCGGGAAGGAGTTGTCCTCCTGCCTGCTTTGTGTGATAATATCCTCCTCAAACAGCTCTCGTGTTGACGAAATGAAAACACCTTACTGTTCTGTTCCCTTCCTGTTGGCTCTGTCCATGTGGGTTTTTCCTTAGTCACCGTAGCCACTCCTCTTGCCCTGTGTGCCTCTTCTGTCTCTCTCTTTTTTTTCAGAGAGACAGCGTCTCACTCTGTTACCCAGGCTAGAGTGCAGTGCCATGATCATAGTTCCCTACGGCCTGGAATTCCTGGGCTCAAGCGATCCTCCTGTCTTCGCCTCCTTAGTAGCTGGGACTACTGGCGCATGCCACCACACCTGGCTCATTTTTTTTGTTGTTGTTTGTTTGTAGTGACAGGGCCTTGCCATGTTGCCCAGCTGGCCTCAAACTCTTGGGCTCAAGTGATCCTCTCACCTCAGCCTCCCAAAACGCTGGGATTACAGGTGTGAGCCACCACGCTTGGCCCTGTTCTGTCTCTTAAGCCTCATAACCAACACTAGGTGGCTGCTGTAACTATTCCCACATTAGAGCTGTGGAAAGAAGTGCTTGCCGGATCACAAGGTCACTGAATATGCACACGTGCATGTTGGGGGTTAGGGGTCAGAGGCAACTTTTGAACCTAGGATGTCTCAATCCAGGCCACGGCCTCTGTTGCTTCACTGCACAATGGCAGCTCACACTGGCCCAGTCCTGGCTGCTAGGAAGGGTGCCCTGGCTGATGCTTTTTACACCGTGGTTGTAAAGGTTTCAGTCAATTTCTTCCCATATGCATTTATCTGACCTCTTAAATCAGCCTCTCTCCAAACCCTTTAAAACTGAAAGCTCTAAAAGTGAAAGAAACAGGGACAGGACCTAGGAGACAACCATGCACTTACTAGGAGTGGCGCTGGCCCATTTACAGTTCAATCTCTCATCCATCAGGTGGTTTAGACTTTTCAGGCTGCTGAGTGCTTGGGGGTGGGGGTGGCATTGAGTTTATTTGGAAGCTTATGGTACTAGTCACCCCAACTGGAGGTCCTGTCTGATGGCAGGAAACTGCTCACAGCTGGTGACTCCCTTTCCCCAACCCTGAACTGACTGTTACATGCCAGGGATGTAAGGACCACTCCCCTCTGCTGGATGAAGATGCATTTGCTTTCAGTGGAGAAAATGTGAGCACTTTGCTCTCTAGTGGCCAATTGGGTAAAAGAGATGACAGTTCTCCCCCGTACTTTATAAATAGAGGTATGAGCCAGTTTAGCTTCAAAAACTTCTATTGAGCACCTAGTATGTGTAGGCTAAATGTATGGTGCTAAATAACAGGGATGTGAAGGTGAGTAAGAGGTCACTGCAAATTATATTTTTGTAGATTGAATCACATTGTAAACATATAAATATATTCTATAAATATAGACTCACAGAATTTTAGAGATTGAGGGGAAGTCCCTGTTTTTTTTTTTTTTTTAGTAGTTAAAAACCTGGGACCCAGAGGTGACATAATTTAAGACCACATGGCTAGTTAGGAACAGGGGAAAAACAAAAGGAGTGCTAATGAAATTAAGGGGGAGGTCACCATCTCATTGTTGTAACTTTTATTTTGAAATAATTTCAGAATTACAAAAGAATTGCAAAAATAGTACAGTGCGTTCTTTATTCCCTTCACCCAGCTTTCTCTAATGTTAACATCTTACACAACCATGGATTTACCAAAACTAATATGTTAACATTGGTGCAACGCTATTCCTGAAGCTACAGACTTCAGATTTCACCAGTTTTTCCACTAATGTTCGTCCTTTTTTCTGTTCCAGGATCTAATCCAGGATACACATTGCAGTTAGACTCTTAATTTTTAACTGTGGATTTTCCTATACTTGAAGTTCGTTCAAACAGTAAGGAATTACTGACACTCAGCTACTGTACAGGAAGCACACCACGGGCCTCTTTTGTCTTTTGGATGATGCTTCTATGTTCTCAGAGCAGGTTGTTTTCCTTGGTCATTTTGAGGAAATTCCAGCTGCAGGTTTTTGGGTGTGTCTAAGTGAGAGGCAATCCCAGCCCACCTATCTGATCTGGATGCAAAGGCTGTCCGGGCTGGCAGTGGCGCACTCTGAACTTTCTGCCACCGTTCCGTCTTGGATCTTGAGTTCCATTTCTGTTTCTTTTGCTGGTAGAGCATTGTTTGTTCTCAGTTGCCTAGTTTATCCAGTGATGGACTTTGGAGCCTGAAAGACTCCAAAGTTACGGGACCTTGAGCTCAATTGCTCTAAAATTAAATTTCCTCCTCTGCAAGATAGTCACTTGCAGTTAGTGAGAGGATTAAGCGTCCCCAGTGAGTAGCGAGGGCCTGGCGTGCAGCAGGTGCAGAGTGAACGTGGAATGACGAATGGGGAGAACAGGCCCGGTGGGTACAGCGGAAGGTCCTCAGTGCCAGGCAAGACCCCCTGAGCTTCCTGGGGGAGGGGCAGGCACTGCAGCGGTTGGAGGGGGAATGATGGGATCTGAGCTGCACTTTAGAAAGTCAAACGTGGAGGCGGAGCTGCGGGAAGTGGACATGGGCACAGGGTGTGCTGCCGTTCACCTGAGAGCAGAACTGGAAAGAGGGACTGTGTGGAGGTCCCACCCCCTGCTACAGGAACAAACTAGACGAAGGGGGAGGGAGAAGTCAGGACTCCACGGTGAATAAATCCTGGGTCTCAGTGAACAGGACAGTGCGACAGCGACAAGAGAATCAGGATAAAGAGGTAACTTGTGGGAGAAAAATGCATTTGGTTGTGTTCATGTTGCTTTTTTTTTTTTGAGACAGAGTCTCACTGTGTTGCCCTGGCTAGAGTGCCGTGGTGTCAGCCTAGCTCACAGCAACCTCAAACTCCTGAGCTCAAGCGATCCTCCTGCCTCAGCCTCCCGAGTAGCTGGGACTATAGGCATGTGCCACCATGCCTGGCTAATTTTTTCTATATATTTTTAGTTGTCCAGCTAATTTCTTTCAATTTTTAATAGAGACGGGGTCTTGCTCTTGCTCAGGCTGGTCTCTACCTCCTGACCTCAAGCGATCCTCCCGCCTTGGCCTCCCAGAGTGCTAGGATTACAGGCGTGAGCCACCGTGCCCAGCCCCTTCATGTTGCTTTTGAGACACTGATCTGATATCTGAGCAGCGAAAAGTGGAAGTGTGGTGAGTGTGGCATTGGAGCCTGGGCGAGGCCAGAGCTGGCCATGAGGACTGAGCCTCACGGGCAGAGGTGGCTGCTGAAGCCACGAGGGAGAATGGGGTCACCAGGGAAGAGAACACAGAGGAGGCCAGAAGCTGGGGCAATGACGCACGCCCAGGGGTTCAAGGAAGAGTCAGAGACAGAGAAGGGGTTTCTGAGAACCCGGATGTGTTGGTTTGCTAGGGCTGCCATAACAAAGTTCCACAAACTGGGTAGTTTAAACAACAGAAATTTATGTCCTCACAGTTTAGGAAGCCATAACAGAAGTCCAAGATGAAGGTGTCAGCAGGGTTGGTCTTGTCTGAAGCCTCTCTCCTTGAGGCGTAGATGCTGTCTTCTGTGTCTTCACATGGTCAGTCCTCTGTGGCTGTTTGTGTTGTAATCTCCTCTTCTTTTCTTAAGAGACAGGGTCTCTGTCTCCCTCTGTCGCTCAGGCTGGAATGCAGTGGTGCAATCATAGCTCACCGCAGCCTCCAGCTCCCAGGCTCAAGTGATCCTTCTGCCTCAGCTGCCTGAGTAGCTGGGACTACAGGTGCATACCACCACACCTGGCTAATTTTTTTGTTTTTTCTAGAGACAGACTTTCACTTTGTTGCTCAGGCTGGTATTGAACTCCTGGCCTTGAGTGATCCTCCTGCTTTAGCCTGACTGTATCTCGAAGCTCTGTTATTAAGTATGCACATATTTATGATTATTATATCTTCTTATGTCTTTTTATTTATTTATTTTTTTTGAGACAAGGTCTTGCTCTGTTGCCACCACCACACCCGGCTAATTTTTTAATTCTTTGTAGAGATGGGGTCTCACTGTGTTGCCCAGGCTGGTCTCGAATTCTCACCCTCCTGTGATCCTCCCACCTCATCCTCCCACAGAGATAGGATTACAGTGTGAGCCACTGCATGGAGCCCTGATCTCCTCTTCTTATAAGGACACCAGTCATACTGGATTAGGGCCCACCTGGTGACCTTATTTTACCTTAATTACTACTTTAAAGGCTCTTATCTCCAAATATAGTCACATTTTGAGGTACTGAGGGTTAGGACTTCAACATAAGAATTTTTTTGGGGGGGAAACACAATTCAGCCCATAAACATAGGAATAGAAACAGAATATTGAGTTTTGAAGGAACCCTAGGGAAGAGTTTCAGAAAGGACAGGGGCTGGCCACAGGCCTGTGTGTTCTTAGATCCACTCGCACCTCCTGCCGCTGCTTCCCTCTCTGCTGTGATTCATAAGGCAGCTGAGGCTCCTCTGCCCTTCGGCTTCCAGAGAGGTTTAGCCAAGGGGGCTTTGGAAGGCCAGAGGAGTGGAGGAGCTGGAGAAGTTTTCCTCCTTTTACTTCTGCTGGTGTCCCCAGCAGCAGCTGTTTCCCTGTGGCTCCATCTCTACAGGACAGACCTGTGGGGCCCAGCTTCCACCAGGTGGCCCTGGCTTGTAAATCCACCTCTGCTGTGTGCCCAGCCCTGCAGGGGTGAGGCTGCCTGCTCTTGCTGTCGTTCCTTGGGTCGCCTCATGGCCCCTTCTCTGGTGTTTTAGCACCTTCATCGTGTTGTAGCCAATTCTCCATGTTCGATCCTCTCTGTTTGAGTATCTAGTAGTTTCTGTTGACTGGTAGAAACACCATGGTCAGGAAAGCCAGGTACCACAGAAAGATGGGAGGGATGGAAGTGGAAAATGGTTAGATCTTTGAGCAATGCAGGTAGAAGCCAGAATTCCAGGGCCTGAGAAGAGGATCTTTGCCAACCTGATGGGTTTATATTAATTCTTAAGAAAGTTTTAATTTGCATATGCTTTTGAGATTGAGCACCTATTCGAGTTTATTGGCTATCTTGGGATACTCTGTTGCTAAAGTGCTTTTTGTCTTTAACCTCTCCACCTTTTTTGGTTTTCTGAGTTTTTCTTGTTGATTTGGAGTTCTTTATATATTCTAGATATGAATCCTGTATCAATTATTTGTCTTACAAATACTTATTCTCGTTCTAGAGCTTGTC